CTGTTCAGAGTATGAATCAAACACCATCTCAAGCATGGGCCGATAATAAACAACATTATTCCCACAACTCAAATAATACTTTTGGCAACAACTTAAGGTCTCAGGTTCCCAATGATGGTAACATGGCTTCTTTAAGCCACAGTATGAATCAAAGCAATGAGAACTTTGGCAGAAGGATGGACATGTCATTGATTGGTAGATCGAGTGGAGGTTCTTCGACACTCGTGCAGCAAACCGAGCATGAAAAGTTGACCCTAGATTCAAGGACAAGGTCAAATGAAGACTACCTCTTGGAGCCAACAAAGCAACAAGTTGGTTTTAGTCCACAAGGCTATGACTCCCTGGATGATCTAATGACTGCAATGAAACGGGTATGATTACCTTCTCTAATCTTGAAATGTCCGAATATTTTTTTTTCCAGCATAAACAACATTACATAGAAAACACTAGTTCAATGTAAGATAATTTATTTGAACGAGATAAACCTGACTTCTACGTCAATAGTTAAATGTATAGCTGGATTTTGCATCCAACTTATGAAAACAAATCTGCAGAGGAGGTGATGACATATATTTGCTTCACCAACAATAGCAACCAATACCACAAAAAGCGGGGCTGAATCAAATGGCTATGTTGGTTATCTCTTCCTATAGCTTTTCGGGATAAAACACTGTTTCCCCTTTGGGATTCATCTGGCACTATATCTGATGTCAATAAGGTGCATACTTATATTGACCTGTACACCTATATGAAGCTATAGTCAATGTCTATTGTGTTCTTCTACTTCCGAGTTCATTGTTCATTTCATCTCTTTTCAAGTTGAATCACTCTATTAATCAAAAACAGTAGACTTCTCAACTATTTTTGCTCTTGCTAGTGCCTCAGAAATTCTTGAATTTCTTGCAATATGAGATTGAATGCCATGACTCTTATTTGTAACCATCAAATCCTAGTTTCCAAGATACCACATCAGTCCAATCACCACTAATCTTAGGTTATCAGCGTCGCTAAGCTTCACGAATCCACCAACAATAGCTTCTCGGGATTAAACACTGTTTCCCCTTGAGGTTCATCTTGCACTAAATCTGCTGTCAATAAGCTGCATATTTTATCGACTAGAATAACTATATGAAAATACAGTCCATGTCCTTTTTATTGTGTTTCTTCTACTTCTGAGTTCAATGTTCATTTCATCGTCTTTTTAGTTTAATAACTATATTATTTCAACAACAGTGGACTTTTTAACTATTTTTTGCTCTTGCTCATGCTAGTGCCCCCAAAAATTCTTGAATTTTTTGCAATATGAGATTGAATGTCATAATTCTTATTTGTACATCATCACTTCAAATCCAGTTTTCGAGATAATGCATCGTCCTATCACCACTTATCTTAGGTTATCAGGGGGCACTAAGCATCAGAATTGAAAATTTTCTTATTTTTGTCAGCGGATTTCACTCATCAAGTTCTTGTTTGATCTACCACCGTTAAGTTTCTGCACTTTGTTCCCTTGATTATGACAAGATTGCAAAGATCCTTACTTTTATTTCGTTACAAACATAATCAAGAAAAAGAAAAGGAAACTTTTGTGCTCTTCATACTGCATTATAAGAGTAAACGAATGCTGGTGCATTATAAAGGATTTTTGCCAGTTGTTATTGAATGCGACGACTCTTCACCACTAGTCTTAGGCATCAAAATTCAAAAAGTTGTCTTTTTTTATTTTTGCCTGTAGATTTTGCTCGTCACGTTCTTTTCTCATTACATACATACATTACCAAGAAAGCAAAAGGGAATGAATGCCTTTTGAAACTTTTGTGCTCTTCAGACTGCATTTTAAAGGATTTTTCCTTATGCAATGCAGGAGCAAGATGGAGGCATGTTAGATGAAGGAACAATATGGATTTAACTATGAAGTTTTCTATAGCTGTCAGTCAGCAAGAAGAGGATCTAGCTAGGTTGCAGCATTACTAATTTAGGAGTTAATAGTGTCAATATGTAGTAGTACTCCGCAGGCCTTCTGTTTGGTTATTTTCTTCTGGAAATGATGTTATTGACAGTACCATTTCTAATGTAAATTGCTTGCTGCTTCTTAGCGATGACTTCTCCAACATCAAAGCTTTTTTTCGTTTGTCATTTTTCTTTTCATGGCATTCTGCAGATTAATTTTGTGCTGTGATAAAGTTCAGATTACTTTAATGTGGTGATAAATCTAACTATATCTTGGAAAAAAGTTATTCAAAGCTATGTTGCTCGGACTCTTAGTGTATATGTGGAGGATACGACATGATTGTGGCAATATTTCTGAGCAAACTAGGTTCCAAGTTTATATCTCTATGTTATTTTTTTAATGTTTTTGTACACTCTCAAGAAAGAGTTAATTGCCTTTGATTATAAGAATATTTGTCTTAAACTATCTTCTATGACTTCTTAAATATTTCACTTAATTGACACTCTACTAGTTGAAACAATAAGGTGTTTATTTAGAAGAAATAATAAATAATATTATATATATATATTATCACAAGATTCTTGGCTCAAGAATAATGAATCATTCTGAATAGTAACTATAACAAAATTATACGATTATTAATTACAAGAAACATAATATAATAATATAAAACGAAGGCTATAATTACTAGCTAGCATGGGAAGGTAATAAAAGCATTTTTTATGACTAAATAAATAGTCTTTTAGTTTAAGCAATTCACTTAATCATAAACCTTTTACCAATTGATTCTAAGTAAAAAAAAATATTATATGAATGAAGCAAGTGAAATATTACTGCAAGTTGTCAAACTCAAAGATATATAGTTGTTGTGTTTTTAAGTCTATTTAACCGATTGACATGTGAAGGATAAATATTTATTCATGTGTTTATATTAAATTGTATAAATTTATCATAATTAAGTATTTAATAAAATGAAAATGTATGTTAATATCGAGTGTGAATAATTTTTTATCATGTGACGGTAGGTAGTCCACAAATCATAGCATAATGAATATCCAATTTATAGAAGAAAACAACATTGCCCAAATTCCTAACTTGACTTGTTCCTAAAGATTAACTAGTCAATTTATTAGCCATTTTGTCCAATAAATAAAGATAGTGCATCCACCAATAAATAATCCAAAGACCAATAAATAAATAAACAAAATAATCCAAAGACCAATTAGTCAACGTGTACTTATTATATTAGACATTTTCGCAATCAAAATAGTGCATCCACCAAAAATCAAAAGAAAAAAAAATACTAGACAATCTTCTTAGGAACATCAAAGAATCAATCACTTTATACCAAGTTTTTTTAGTGAATATTGTTGATTATAGGGGTCAAATAGATGAGCTGGATTGAAATTGAGCGAGTTAAAAATGAGTTGAGTAAGTAAAAGGGTGAGTTAATTATTAATTCGCCTAAAAGTTATTTAAGTTGAAATAAATTAAAAACGAATTAAAATCTAATCCGTTCAAGTACTATTAAGTTTTAATTGCTTTATTATTTATTTTATAATTTTTAATGCCTAGTAAAATTATGATTTTCTTCACTATAGTTGTATATAACATATTAAATAAGAAATTGTATTTTCTAAAATGTTGACAAAAATTTTCATGAAGTAGTTTTTTTTTTAATTTATGAAGCAATTTGGATTAGATATCATCTCAAATTTTGATGGACTAAAAGGGGCTAAACTAATAATAGTCAATGTGTAATCATCAGTCCAAATTTGGACGAATCGAGTTGTTATAGTTTCATGAGCTAATTTGCCTCCTCTATAATTGATATAGGCAAATTCAAAATTTGAAATCTATGAATTATTATACATATCTCAATTAATATATAATAATAATTCAATTTATAATCAAATATTTACGAGTATTCTTGATATTCTTAATATAAATACATTATGGGAATAAAAACTATTGCATTCATGTGAACGCATACCTTATTGATATGAATAGTTTTTTATATGAATTTTTTTGATAACTTTATAATTTTCTACAACAAATCTATTTGAAATATCCAATACTTTAGAGAATCTAGATAAATTTTTTAAGTAAAATCCCAAAAAATATATTTTTATCTCATACCAAATTCCTTAATTGATAACATTTTTTTATAACAACATAAATATTCTGATATATTTAAGATCATAAATTTATAAAATTTTATAATCATATAAAAGATACTCCTATAACATGTTAATAAATATTGCATTTATAAAAAGAAAAAAACAATAGCAAAATTTCTAACATGACTTATTCCTGAAGACTAGCTAAGTCAAACCTTGTATTTATTAATTATTTTCCATTTCCCCAATCAAATACAATGCATCAATCAAATCAAAAGAAAAGAAAAATATGAGACCATCTTCCTAGAAACATCAAGAGTCAACCACAATAAATTAAATAGATCTGTGACCTAAAATAAAATAAAAAACCACTTCATTACTAGAGGATACTGTAGATTAGCGTCTTTTCAAAATTTAATTAAATTTTTTATATTAATTTTAAATTAATAAATAAAAATGATAAAATTTATAACTATTTTATAAATTTTCTTAATATAAATGATAAATGTTATTCTATAATCTAAGGTTACAAGTTTTAAAACAATATTATTACTTTAAAAATCACATATTTCAAAAATATTTTATCTTTAAGTTTTTAACTTTATATCGAAACAGATAAGTTCGCATAAATTGAAATATTCGTATCAATAGTCTATAAGCTTTTCTAAAATATTTATGATTCTTTTAGAAACTAAAAAAATCATCTTTAACTTTTTCCACGCTCAACTCAATTTTATTTATTTGTGAATTGAGATTGGATTAAATTTGAATTTGCAAATTATAGGGCTCAATTCTAGAGAAGGTGTTCTCAATACAACGTTCTTTTCTCCATTCTCAATGATTCAAATCCGATACTTCTATTTAAGGGCAAAAAAAGATTCTAGCCATCCCACCACAACTCATGTCGCATAGTTAACTCAAACCATGAAACTATATAATATGAAACTCACCCAAAATCATACTTGTTTCAGCCATGGCCTTTTCCTACACTAATATTTTCTTATTTTTCTTCCTCCACCAACTAATCATTTTCTCTAATGGCCAAATTATTACAATTAAGGGAGGTTACTGGCTATGGGACAGTGGATTAATAGCCTTAAACAAAATTGATTTAACTCCTTTCTCTCACTTATTTTGTGGATTTGCTGATATTAATTCCCAATCCAATCAATTAATTCTCACTTCACCAAATTCATTCATACAATTTACAAGCATAGTCCAACAAAAAAATCCTTCTGCAAAATTTTTATTGTCAATAGGTGGAGGAGGTGCAAATAAAACAACATATGGAGTTATGGCTACAGCACCAAATTCAAGAAAAAGTTTTATTGATTCATCAATAAAATTAGCTAGACAATTGGGATTTCATGGTCTTGATCTTAGTTGGATATTTCCAGAATCTGCTTCAGACATGATGAATTTAGGTACTGTATGATCATCTCATCTAAGAGCTAGTTTAATCAAACAGAGATAAAAATTTGAATATTCTTTCCTTTTTCATATACATGATTGACGAAATTTGAATCTAGAGTATTCTTTGCTCTGATATCATTTTGAGTTGTGGAACCCTGATTTCATATTTTAAAACATCAATATTTAGAGAGTTCCTATTGGTTTAAATTTATTGTGATTTAGATTTACTTTTCATTAATAGTTGAAGTCATTTATAAAATGAGTTAGATTTATTTGTACCGACTAAGATAAAGACTTTAAAACACATAGGCCTTTTATAAGAAAAAAAAAGGGTGAAATACACAAAATAATTTGAATTTGTCCCTAGACAGCTTTGCAAAATGGTCAAATTTCATAATGACGAATTTAAAACTTATGTCGTTAGTCAATAAGATGAGTAAATAATATATAGCCTTGTAATAAGAGAATTTAATGTAAAAGTTAGACGAAGATAATCTTTTATTTACTTATATGTTATGAAGGCATCCTTTTGAATGAGTGGCGCATTGCTATCAACACGGAGGCAAGAAACTCCAGCAAAGTGGCTTTACTTTTCACGGCAGCCGTTTCCGGTTCGCCCCGAGTCAATGGTTCAATTTATCCGGTTCAATCACTAGCAAAAAATTTAGACTGGATCAACCTAATAGCATACGACTTCTACGGACCAAATTGGTCGCCATCACAAACAAATTCACATGCACAATTATTCGACCCGGTGAACTATGTGAGTGGTAGTGACGGAATCAACCAATGGATTCAACAAGGTGTCCCATCACAAAAAATTGTTTTTGGTATTCCTTTTTATGGATATGCATGGAGATTGAATAATACGAATATTCATGGTCTCAGGGCACCGGCTATCGGAAAATCAGATGTCTACGATGATCCGTGGATGACATATGACCAAATTAGGGATTTTATAGTGCAACATCGTGCCACGACCATACATGATGATAGAATTATTGGAGATTATTGTTACTCGGAAAATACTTGGATTAGTTATGATGATATTCAAACTGTTAAGACTAAAGTGTCTTATATTAAAAGCAGAGGGCTGCTTGGTTATTATGCAATGGATATTTCAGGAGACACTAATTGGAATTCTCTTCTTTCTCATGCTGCTTCACAAGGTATAAACTAACTCCATTCATTTTGTTATTCAAAAGGATTTATATCTTTTCATACTAAAAAAAAAAAAAAAAGGTATGTAAGCATTTCAACTCCTTTCAGTTTGATCATCTCATAAACTTGATATGTCACCTTAGTGTCACGTGTCGACAACACAAAAAAGACAAATTGAGGTGTTGATCTAGACATACAGCGTTTACTTGTCAGTTGAGATCAAAATTTATAATGTCGATCTATTATATTATACCTATTATAAATTTATGAATGGCTCAACTATTTATTTTTCTTTTGTTTTTTAAAATTTAGAAGCTGATGGAATGACACAAGGAGAAATTGTGAAGAAGAAGAAAAAACTCAATCGACTAGTTATCATTTTGATTCCAATTGGTGCACTACTAATATTGATATTGTTAGTGTTTATAATTTGGTATCTTCGAAGGAGACAAGTACCTAAGTTTCAAGGTAATTACTCTTTTCGATTAATTTTACGTGAAGATGTTATCATTAAAAAGTCAAACATATATATTTTTTTTACTCTAATATTTTCAGATATTTTTAAAATATGTGAAATTATTATTAACTGAATTTAGGAGTGTTATTAATATTCTTCTTTTTAATTTTATTTTTTTATATTAGAGTTAGAGAGGAACCAAAGGAACAAAATGGGAAGTAAAAATAAAGCAAGAAAAAGTGGAGATAATAGCAATTTGCAAGTTTTTAGTTTTGATGAGATGAAGGAAGCTACAAATAATTTTTCATTTGACAATAAGCTTGGAGAAGGGGGATATGGACCTGTTTTCGAGGTAAATTCTATCGATATTTATATTAAATTAATCAATATAAATGTTTTACTTATATATATATTTTATTTTATTTTTAGTTTTGTATAATTAAAAATTGTTGGAGCAAAATATTTTGAGTCTTGAATAGGAAGAAAATGTGAAACAGAATCATTATGTGGTCACCGTAAAAAATTTCTAATTTGAATTAACATCCTTTTAGCAAAAAATGGTACTAATATTGCTAATTATAAATTTTTCCCTTTATATATATAGCACCTGTTGGGTTAAATAATTCTTTAATGGTCTGGTTAATCATTGTTATTTTTTTATTTAAAACAAATATCTTCAATGATTTTTGGATGGCCTGTGGTATATTTTTAAATTCGAATCAGAAATTTGTGCCAGACTACAAATATATGCATGGCATATTTAAAGTAAATTCTTTAAAAAAGAAGAAGGAAATTTCGCAAATAGCCACTAAAATAATCTTAATTAGGCTCTATAGTTATAGTTTGTTAATTAACTAATATATGTTTGCTTCTCCTCATAATTTCTCTAAAAAAATATAGGTGGTTGAAAATTCAAAGTTGAAAAATAATTTTAAAGTTTAAACAAAACAAGAAATTAATAAAACACGATATTATATTTTAAACTAACTGATTAAATTAATGATGGGACAGGTCTTCAATCTTCAAGATGATGAATTTACTAATAGGAGTTGTTAATTAGTAATTAATGCTATAAATAATCTTTTTTGGGATGCACAAAGAAGAAAATGGTGCCATATAAATTACGACGATAATATTCACCGTATTTATGTTTATGATAGATATTGAGTGTACCTCCCTAAGTAAAATTAGGAATTCAAATTTTATGTCTATTTATTTACTTTTTAAAATAAAAATAAAAATTGTTAACACGACCTCTCTAACTAGTTATTGATGTTTTCTTTCTTTTCTAAAACTTGGTATACCTAAGTGGTTATTTAGTGTTATGTCTTGCATCTTATTTAGTACTTTTTTCTTTTTCTTTTTCTTTTTTTGGTCTGGTTTATTCTTTTAAAATTTCAATTGATCCCAACATCTTCGATACAAAATATAACTATAGATGTTAAACAATAATTTTAAAAAAGGACATAATATGTTAAAGTGAGAATTTGAAGATTAAACTGATTAAATTTTTATTTGAGTTCACTTCTTCATAATAATACATCAATCTTCTTGAAATTCTGAATACGCTTCTTATAAATCTAAATAGGGAAAGTTGAGGAATGGGGAAAAAATAGCAGTGAAAAGGTTATCAGAGACTTCATCTCAAGGATTGGAAGAATTTGAAAATGAAGTGATTCTTACTGCAAAATTACAACATATAAATCTTGTAAAAGTTGTGGGATTTTGCATTGAAAATGGAGAAAAAATGTTGATCTATGAATATATGCCCAACAAGAGCTTGGACCACTACATTTACAGTAAGTCATTCTTTTTTATATTTGAGTTTAACTTGCTTATAAATTATAACATACCAATAAAGTTGTGATGGACTGATAAGTATTCATTCATCTTTAATCAAATATCTCAAGTTCTAATTTTTCCTTAGTACAGAATTGCCTTTGTTATGAAGTGTTTTACCCTTGATATGGGACTTCTAAAAACTAATTTAAATTTAATCGGAATCCAATACGAATATCAAATAGTGGCCATGACCCCTCCCCCTCCAAAATAAAAAGGGACTTACCTATACTATGAATTTGGATCAATCAAAAGATAATTATAGGTAAACATCCACTATGTTGTTATTCCTATTAAGCACCAGTGTTTGTTGCAACACCAACAAACAGTCTGTAACAGCTTAAAAAGATTGATTTTTAGCCGATCCACCCCTGCAATAAGAATTATACTGTATAAAATAAAGGTAAATTTGAAAGAAAAAAAAAATATTTTATTATGTAAAAAAATATACTTATTTTGAATTAAATGTAAAAGATAAAAATACCATATTATATGGACTGAAAAGAATTATAAAAATATTAAATCTCTTCGCTTTTTCACGTGTTTTTTTTAAATATCTAATTTGGATCTTTTTAATTGACATTCTGACTCTGTCACTAACTCTGAAGATGAAATGTATTTATATGTTTTTTGATCAACTTGATTTGTATTTTCTCATGTAGATCAAGTGAGAAGATTAGTTCTAAATTGGGAAAAAAGAGTGCAAATAATTGAAGGCATTATTCAAGGGCTATTATACCTCCAAGAATATTCAAGATTAACAATTATCCATAGGGATATAAAAGCCAGCAATATTCTATTGGACTTACAAATGAAACCAAAGATTTCTGATTTTGGAATGGCAAGAATGTTTAAGGAGGATGAAGTTGAAGCAAATACAAGCAGAATAGTTGGAACATTGTAAGTATTATATATACCTCGTAAACAATTTTTACACTATCAAATTATTTAATATATATGGGTACGTAAAATAAGCTTTGTAAGCGATATTCCATATTAAGTGATCGAATAAAGTGAAAATATATATTAATTGTTCATAATTAAATCATTATTTATGTATTACTTAGATGTAAATATTTTGTGACTTGTCTTATTTTCAAGATAGTAAAATTATTATTTTTATGTGATTTACATTATACGTAATATAAAAATTTGTCTTTTCGTGAATTACTTACTTATCATATATATTTATTTGCAGGGGTTATGCACCACCTGAATATATAAAACAGGGCATTTATTCAACAAAATCTGATGTTTTCAGTTTTGGAGTACTTCTTCTTCAAATCATAAGTGGGAAAAAGAATACATGTTTTTATGGTCCAGATGAACAGCTAAATCTTCTTGACTATGTGAGTTGTCATAATTTTTTTATTTTATTTTTATTAGGCGTTCGATATTTGATCAATAGGCAGTGTGGAGTATTGTCTTGCTTTTTGTGGGTTTAGACTTGTTGGTGTTTGTCATAGTACTGGACATATTCTTATAGTTCTTGTTTTTGATATCTATCATCATCTGTTGTTTATTGTGTTTCACTTAAATCACATTTTGTTGTTATTCTTGTTTCTTTGTTATAGGCTCTACATCACTTTCCTTATTGGTTGCTATGTTTTTATTTTTGTTTTTTCTTACTTGGATTTGTTGCATTTGAGTCGAGGGTATTTTGAAAACGTCTCTCAATCTCCACGAGGTAGTGGTAAGGTTCACGTACACTCTACCTTCTCCATACTCCACTCGTGATATTTCACTGAATATATTATTATTATTATTTTGTTGATGGTGTTTGATATTTATATTGAATTCGATTAATTTAAATTGTCAGTTGCATAAGGTATTTTAAATGCATGTGTCTACTTAGTTCAATAAACTCCTTGCTAAAGTTATTGAATTCTGTCGAACTTGTAACGTATATTTTTAAACCAAATACATGGTTTAACCTTCTTCTTCTTTTTTTCTATGTTGAAAAAAATAATAATACAGGCATTTGAGATGTGGAGAGATGGTAAAGGCATGGAATTTATGGATGAATCACTTGATGATAAAACATCATATTGCAAATTATTAAATTGCATGCAAATTGCATTGTTATGTGTCCAAAAAAACCCATTGGATAGGCCTACAATGTTGGAAGTTTCTAATATGTTGAAAAATATTGCAAATTTAGTGATTGAGTTCCCTAAGAGGCCTGCATTTTCTGTAAAAGAAGATGAAGAAAGTTTGAAGAAATATGGCTTAGTGCAAGAAACAGAAGAAGTTGATACTGCAACAATTACACAATTGATTGCAAGATGACTGATGATATCAATCCTACCTAATGTTCAGATGCATTTTAGTGGCTTTAATGGTTCGATTCGATTGGTTATTTTTATAAAAATATGTATATATCTTTGTTTTGTGAATTTCTAATTGGTATTCGATATTCATATTGGAGTATGACTAATTCAGATACGTTTATTACTCCCTCTATTCACTTTTACTTGTCACTTATTCCTAAAATAGATTTTCATTTTTATTTGTCACTTTTGACATATCAAGAAAACACAATTATTATTTTTCATGTTTTGCCCTTAGCATTAAATACTTGTCTTGTTTTCTTTCATTTGATCTTTTCTTTACCCCATTTTCATAAGAAAACTCAATAATCTTTTTCTGAAAGCTTTTTTTTCCCGTGACAACTACTAGTATAATTTTTCTTTCCTTCTTGTTTAAAGGCAAAATATATATATATATATATATAAAAGGCAAAATATTTAGGATTGATTAAGAAAATACTTCTTTAAACAAAAACTTTACAACCACAACAAGAAAAATGTAGCAATTAAGGCCCAAAAAAAGTTGAACTGGACTTGGTGGGGTGTGCCAGGCCCATGCAATGTTGAGGGTAAAACATAGAAAAAAAGTAGGAAAAATTACTGAAATACACGTCTTATGTTTCCCTTATTTCTAATATTCTCTTCTATTTCTAAAAACCTCTAAAATCCGTTATTTCTCTCCTAATTCTAAATTATTTTATAATGTATCCGAGCTTGTTTTTAATGTATCCGAGCTAGTTTTAAATGTATCCAAGTTACATATTATGTATCCGGTTTATTTTATAATGTATCCAAGCTAATTTTTAATGTATTCGAGCTACATATTATGTATCCGGTTTGTTTTACTTTTTTAGGGATTAATGTAATTACAAACTAAATAGGGATAGATTGTAATTTCATATTAAAACTATGTGATTCCTAAAACTTATACAAAGAAATATTGTTTTTTCTTGATATGTCAAAAGTGATAGGTAAAAATGAAAATCTATTTTAAGAATAAATGATAAGTGAAAGTGAACGGAGGGAATATTTCCTAGCGAGGAACCACATGACATGAAGGGTCATGAAGTTGTACAATATATAGTGGGATTTTACAAGAATTTCTGATTCTTTATTATTTTTGCTTAGAGGCAAACTCAAGATATAAATTTAATTAGTTGAATCTTTAAATTTTTTAGCATTAAACTCATTGTACTTTAAAAATTATGGTTCAAATTTAATATTTATTAAAGTTTTTATATAATTTTCAATATTAACATACATTATATTTATACTCCTTTTCGAAAATATGTGGGTTGAGTGACACATGAATTGCATCTGTTACTATTATTATATATTATCTTTTAATGAGATATATATATATATATATATATATTAAAAATTAAAAATTAAATTATTTTCTCGTAAATTTCTGTGATGATAGAAATTTACTTCATGACTTGGGAAAACAACAAACTACTTTCTTTTGTGTTATCGTCCTTGCATGCTGGACTTTTTTTCTCAATTATTAGTCGTAAAAGTTCTACAAAAACACGTCAATTTTTTCTAAATTGATGTGACATTTTCCTTTTAATATTTCTCGCAACAATTATTTTTGGCAAATATCTATCACATATAGAGTATTATAATATTATCGTTATATTTTAATAATAATAATAAAAAAAAAATAAAAAAAAAAAAATTGTTAATAAGGTTTGAAAATTAAATGGTAGTGATTCAAGTTATTTTAATTGAGTGTAGGTGACAATTTTAATTGACACTTCTCGTCAATGATTTCGTCTTGTACAAAACTCAATTTTAATTGACACTTCTCGTCAATAATTTTATCATGTCCATAATTTAATTTTAATTGACACTTCTTGTCAATGATTTTGTCATGTCCAAAATTCCATGAAGAAAGAGAAGAAAAAAACACGTCAATTTTTCTAAATTAATGTGACATTTTTCTGTTAATATTTCTCTCAACAATTTTTGTCAAATATCTACAATATAATATACGGATCATTAACGTAAATAGGGTGTGAAAGAATTTTTCGGTGTGTAAGTGTGAGTAATATTTACAGTAAACTTGGTAAAATCATTAGCGCTTAAAAGTCTTTATTTATTTTTTAGGAAATGATATTTAAAAATTGAATTAAAAAAAATGATATTATTAGATCTCCCATGTATGAAAATAAAAATCTCTTATAAAAATAACATCAAGAACTAAAAGTAAATTCATGTACTATAGCACACGAAAACAAGTCATGATCACGTATCACCAAAAAATCATGTACTATAGCACATGAAACGTTAAATTCGATCTTCCTCCGCATTGGGGCTTGTTTGAACTTGAAAATTGGTCTGTTTGCCCCTCGGGACCAACTCATGTCATTAATAAGGTCGTAACGGACGTCCATGAAATTTTTTGGCCAAAAACAAGTCGGGATCACGTATCACCAAATATCCATGGATTATAATACACGAAAACAGTTAATTCGGTTTTTTCCTCATTGAGGCTCGTTTGAGTTAGAAAACGCGTCTGTTTGCCCCTTGGGACCAACTCATGCCATTAATATGGTCGTAACGGACGTCATTGAAAAAATTTTGTCAAAACAAATCGTGATCACGTATCACCAAAAATTCATGGACTATAATATACGAAAAACGATAAATTTGATTTTTTTCACACAGTGGACAACTATTATTAGAGGGAGGGAGTAACAAATTTGTATAGCCACCTATATTTTTTGACATGCTTAAGAATACAATTTATAAAAAAAATTAATTATATGAATGATGTGACGATTAATAAATATTGCATTTATAAAGGAAAAAACATTAGCAAAATTTCTAACATGACTACCAACATGGTTGTGGTGTACTGGTGAGAGTGTTTCACCCTTAATCAGAGGTCTCGAGTTCGAGTCCTAGGTATAGAGAAAATCTTGTTGGGAGTGCCACCCCCGAATTGGCGTTGCAGAGCGAGATTCAAATTTAATCGGAGCTCCAATGTGGACTTCGAACATCGAATGGGAAACCAAAAAAAAATTAAAAAAATCTAACATGACTTATTCCTAAAGTACTATCTGGTCAATAGTCAACCACTTCACACTAGAGGATGTTGTAGATTAGCACGTATTTAAGATTTAAAATTTGTGAATTTTTATATTAATTTAAAACTAATAGATAATAATAATAATAATAATAATAATAATAATGAATCATGATTAAATATATATAAATATTTTATAAATTTCTTAATACAAATGATAAATGTTATTCTATATTTTTAAGGTTACAAGTTTCAAAAAAATTATAATTATCCAAATATTATCATATTTAAGATTACATATTTCAAAAATATTTATTTCTTAATTTCCTAAACTTCATATCAAAATAAGTTTACATAAATTGAAACTGAGGAGATATCAAACATATTTATCCATATCAATATTTTATAAGGTTTTTTTTTCTTTGGTCACCGAAAATATTTAACTTGTGATCCGATTAAATTTAAATTTGCGGTCCAATTTTGGAGAACAATAGGATTGTTTTCATTCTCAAAGGTTTACTTTTAATGAAGGGCAGAGAAAAGTTCAACTATTTCAGTCCACTCAAATCCTGAAACTATAATATAATAATCTCTCACCCATAATCATATACTTACTAGTTTGAGCCATGGCCTTTCTGTATGCTAATATTTTCTTATTTTTGTTCCTCCAACTAATCATCTTCTCTAATTGCCAAAATATTACAATTAAGGGAGGTTACTGGCTAAGGGAGAGTGAATTATCGTTAGACAAAATTGATTTAACTCCTTTCTCTCATTTTTTTTGTGGATTTGCTGATATTAATTTCCAATCCAATCAATTAATTCTCACTTCACCAAATTCATCATTCATACAATTTACAAGCATAGTCCAACAAAAAAATCCTACTGCAAAAACATTATTGTCAATAGGTGGAGGAGGTTCAAATAAAACAACATATGGAGTTATGGCTACAACACCAAATTCAAGAAAAAGTTTTATTGATTCATCAATAAAATTAGCTAGACAATTGGTATTTCATGGTCTTGATCTTAGTTGGATATTTCCAGAATCTGATTCAGACATGGCAAATTTAGGTACTGTACGTGTCGTCATCTCATCTATGAGTTTAATTTGCTAGAGATAAATGATTGATGAGATATTTGTCTGCTTTGATATTATTTTAAATTAGTTAATTTCTCATATAGTCACTCAACTAATAGTTATTATCTCATAAAGTCATTTTTCCAAAGGAGATTGAATCAAGTATTAGTTGAGTTGCTATATAAAAAATCAACACAATTTTGAATTGTATGACCTTACTTTCATATCTTTAAACATCTATTGAAATCAAGTATTAGTTGAGTGGCTATATAAATATCAACACAATTTTAAATTGTATGACCTTACTTTCATATCTTAAAACATCTATATTACTCCCGTTCAATAATAGTTGTGCACTATTCTAAAAATAGTTGTTCAATAATACTTGTTCAGTTTAAAAAATTAAGAAATAATTTATCTTTTGTGTCTATTTTACCCTTGCTATGAAATACTCCTATTTATCAATAAAATTAGCTAGACAATTGGTATTTCATGGTCTTGATCTTAGTTGGATATTTCCAGAATCTGATTCAGACATGGCAAATTTAGGTACTGTACGTGTCGTCATCTCATCTATGAGTTTAATTTGCTAGAGATAAATAATTGATGAGATATTTGTCTGCTTTGATATTATTTTTAATTAGTTAATTTCTCATATAGTCACTCAACTAATAGTTATTATCTCATTAAGTCATTTTTTTAAAGGAGATTGAATCAAGCATTAGTTGAGTTGCTATATAAAAAATCAACACAATTTTGAATTGTATGACCTTACTTTCATATCTTAAAACATCTATATTACTCCCTCCGTCCAACAATAGTTGTGCACTATTCTAAAAATAGTTGTCCAATAATACTTGTCTAGTTTAGAAAATCAAGAAATAATTTATCTTTTGTGTCTATTTTACCCTTGCTATGAAATACTCCTATTTATCATCTAACACATTTCTCAAAGCATTAAATTTAACAAAGTCAAAGGATAAAATAGTAATAATACCCCTATTGTTTATTACTCTCTCCGTCCTTTTTTATATGTCATCCCTTTCTATAAATAGTTGGTCCATAATACTTGTCATTTCATAAAATCAATGCATAAATGACCATATTATTCCTTTTTTATCCTTGTGAGTTATTAGCCTTGAAAATATACATTTGACCAACTTAGAAAAGCTAAGTAAATGATTCATGTTCATCGGTTAAATGAATTAATTCATATTCATTGATTGAAAACTTGAGTTCCAAAAAAATTAAATAAGGGTAGAAGGGTAAAGTTACATCATTTTTTAATGCAAGTGCAAAGTTAAAAGGTGACATATAAAAAAGGGCGGATGGAGTATTTCTTAGTGGTGTGTCAAATCAATAGTGGACAGTTATTATCGAAGATTGAGTATAAAGAGAGATCATATTTATTTATTTAGCTAGAGAAAAAGTTCAAATTTACTCTTGAATTTTGCTAAATAATTATAGATTTGCTCTCCACTAATAATTGAAGTCCATTATAAAAATGAGTTTAGATTTATCTTTATTGACTAAAATAAAATACATACTTTTCAACATGTAGGCCCTTTGCAAATTTATAAGTATTTGAAATACACAAAATAATTTGAATTTGTCCTTGGACTTTGCGTAATGGTTAAGTTTCATACCGACAAATTTGAAAGCTTATGTCGTTAGTCAATAGTAAGAGAATTTAATGTAAAAATTAGACGAAGATATATATTTTTATTTATTTAATTATATTTTTTTATGAAGGTATTCTTTTGAATGAGTGGCGCATTACTATCAACACAGAGGCCAGAAACTCCGGCGAAGCTCCTTTACTTTTCACGGCAACTGTTTCCGGTTCGCCCCGAGTCAATGATTCGATATACCCAATTCAATCATTGACAAGAAACTTAGACTGGATTAACCTACTAGAATACGGCTTTTACGAACCGAATTGGTCTCCTTTAGAAACGAATTCACATGCACAATTATTCGATCCGGTGAAACAAGTGAGTGGTAGTGACGGAATCAACCAATGGATCCAGGAAGGCGTACCGCCGCAAAAAATAGTTTTCGGAATTCCCTTTTTCGGATACGCGTGGTGATTGAATAATATGAATATTCATGGTCTCAGGGCTCCGGCTATGGGAAAATCGGACGTTTACGATAATCCGTGGATGAGATATGACCAAATTAGGGATTTTATAGTGCAGCGTCGTGCTACGACGGTGTATAATGCAACAATTGTTGGAGATTATTGTTATTCGGGAAATACTTGGATTAGTTACGATGATATTCAAAGTGTCAGGACTAAAGTTTCTTATATTAAAAGCAGAGAATTGCTTGGTTACTATGCATTTGATATTTCAGGAGACACTAATTGGAATTCTCTTCTTTCTTATGCTGCTTCACAAGGTATAAATTAACTCCATTTCATTATCTTTTTTTTTTAATATATATATTTATTAAAAAACGATATGTACACGACCATCTAGTACCTCTAAAAATTATGTGTCATGTCAGTGTCTAATGTTTACGAATAAAGATAAATTTAGGATTTCTAAAACATGAGTGCACCACTAAAAAAAATAAAGTAAAATGTGTATTAAGTGAGAATTGATTTCTAAGTAAACAACTCAACATATATTCCACCAAATGCACCATTAATTGTTCTTATAGCATGAATGTCAACAAATAATATTATATCAGTTTTAAAAAATATTACGGAGTAACCACAAGTTCACGTGACCTATTTTAGGATATAAATATGTCGCTCTCCACAACTTAAAGTATCTAGATGTGCAATGTTTACTTGCTAACAAAAATCATGTTTGAATGTCGATCTATGTATTATATCTGCAATTAATTTATGAATGACTCAAATATTTGTGTTTTTTTCTCTTATTGTTTTTTTTTTAATTTAGAAGCTGATTGAGTGACACAAGGAGAAATTGTGAGCAAGAAGAAAAAACTCAATCCACTAGTTATCATTTTGATTCCAATTGGTGCACTGCTAATATTGATATTGCTAGTGTTTATAATTTGGTATCTTCGAAGGAGACAAGTACCTAAGTTTCAAGGTAATTATTCTTTTCAATTAATTTTACGTGAAGATGTTATCATTAAAAAGTCAAACAAATATATTTTTTTTACTCTAATATTTTCAGATATTTTAAAAATATCTGAAATTATTATTAACTGAATTTAGGAGTGTTATTAATATTCTTCTTTTTATTTTTATTTTTTTATATTAGAGTTAGAGAGGAACCAAAGGAACAAAATAGGAAGTAAAAATAAAGCAAGAAAAAGTGGAGATAATAGCAATTTGCAAGTTTTTAGTTTTGATGAGATGAAGGAAGCTACAAATAATTTTTCATTTGAAAATAAGCTTGGAGAAGGTGGATATGGACCAGTTTATGAGGTAAATTCTATCGATATTTATATTAAATTAATAAATATAAATATTTAATTTTCATATATATATTTATTTTTTGTTTAGTTTTTTTTTTATAATTATAGATTATTGGGGTAAAAATACATCCTGAGTATTGAATATGAAGAAAAGATGACATTGACCAAGTCAATAATAACTAGTAAATGATAATTGAATAATTGGGGTTATAAATATTAAGGATAAAATAAAATTAAACATGATAAAATACGATATTATATTTTAAACTAACTAAATGAAAGTAATGACGGGACACGTCTTCTAGAAGATGAATTTACTAATAGGAGTTGTTAACTCGATACAATCCTTAAAAGAATTTTTTTATTAGGAGCAGGAACGGAGCTAGCAAGAGCTGATGTTTATTCAAATTTTATTCACAAAAAATTACACTATTTATATGATTAAAATTATTTTTTGTTTATTTATAGTAGATGTTGAACCTCTTTCGACTTCTTGTGTTTACTTCTTCATATTTTGAACTCTAAATAAAAATCATAACTACGCCAATGATTAGGAATGAATTTTATTAAAATAACTTTACTAATAATACTTTGAAATTATAAATTTGACTACTACTACTTTATATACCTATTTAATATTAAGCGTAATATTAAAACAGAAGTAATAAAACTCTCTTAATTTGATAAAATAGATAAGTAAAAAAGAAAAAAAATATCTTTAATATAAGGGCCAAATAAAATGAACGGGCAGCAGTAAATAAGAATTATTTTTTTTTAAAAAAAGTATAAGATGTATGCTCAATAATAAAAATCTTTAGGTTGCATTTGGTCAAATTTATATTTATATCTACTTCTTCGTAATAATGCTTTAATCATCTCGAAATTTTGAATTTGCTTCTAAATTCAATTAGGGAAAGTTGAAGAATGGGGAAAAAATAGCAGTGAAAAGGCTATCAGAGACTTCATCTCAAGGATTGGAAGAATTTGAAAATGAAGTGATTCTTACGGCAAAATTACAACATATAAATCTTGTAAAAGTTGTGGGATTTTGCGTTGAAAATGAAGAAAAAATGTTGATTTATGAATATATGCCCAACAAGAGCTTGGATTACTACATTTATAGTAAGTCATTCTTTTCCCTTCTTTTTTTCATGTTATATTGAGTTTAATTTTTATACATCATAAAAAGATTTTTACATTATTGTATAATTTAAAAAACAACGATTGTGCAGAGGAATGTAAAAATCGTATGGGCTATGCATTTATTAAAAAATAATCAGTATTTGAAAATTCGTTAAATAATTGACTATTTTTTTTATGATATTATTAGAATATGTGGCTATTTAAAATTAGAAGTCGTGAGAATGATTTTTATTTTTCAATTTTACCCTAAATTAATTTTATATTATCAGGTTACATTTACAAACATGTAGCTTGCCTTGTTTTAATGATTACATATTTCATTTTTCATGAAGGTTGGGATCTTTTGGATGGCTTGATAATGTTAAATTTCTTCACGCTAAAGATATTTTTTGGTAATTAACGTGTGTGGGTGGGTGGGGTAAATAACTGTGCTTTGCCCCCACCTATGAAACGGTTGTGTTGTGTTGTAGCCTATCCTTCTATTCTCCACATTAAGTGGTGAAGATTGTTATTTGTTGTCACTGAACCTACTTGATTCGTTGTAGACTGCTTTCAAACCCTATTGAACTAAGAGTCTCGTTTTAAGTCTAGCTATCGCATAGGGGCAACTGGCTAGCAGAGCTATGCTGCTTCGAGTTTTGCATGGCTAACGGCTAATGCTATACCATGACACTATGTTGTGCCTACACTAACGTGACTTACAAACAACGCTGGCGCTATATAACCATATAGGCAAGACTCGGACCACCTCCCTTCGCTTCAGAGTCTTAGAACAAAAATTTCATTATATTGTCATTTAATATAAAATATTAATTAACATCTCTTTTTACTTTTTCTTTTTTAATTGACCTCCTTCTTTCTTTAATTGACAGGCACATGAGATCAAACTCCAATTTTCTATATTCTAACAATTTGTATTTATATGTTTTTTGATCAACTTGATTTGTATTTCCACATGTAGATCAAGTGAGAAGATTAGTTCTAAATTGGGAAAAAAGAGTGCAAATAATTGAAGGCATTATTCAAGGGCTATTATACCTCCAAGAATATTCAAGATTAACAATTATCCATAGGGATATAAAAGCCAGCAATATTCTATTGGACTTACAAATGAAACCAAAGATTTCTGATTTTGGAATGGCAAGAATGTTTAAGGAGGATGAAGTTGAAGCAAATACAAGCAGAATAGTTGGAACAAAGTAAGTATTATTTATATTCATATAATTTGGAATGAAATCTAATTATATACATTCATTAAAAAAAAAAATAGTCAGTATCATGTTCACATAGGGTTTAGGAAAGGGTCAATGTATTAAAAGATGTGATGTAGGGAGTTTATCCTGAAACTAGCATGTAACATCAACGACTGATTCCACAACTCGAATCTTAATAATTATATTCTTTACTAATATTATTCATTTAATTTGTAATGTGTTGTAGGGGTTATATTCCACCTGAATATGCAATTGAAGGCAGATATTCAACAAAATCTGATGTTTTCAGTTTTGGAGTACTTCTTCTTCAAATCATAAGTGGAAAAAAGAATACATGTCTATATGGTCCAGATGACAACTTAAACCTTCTTGAATATGTGAGTTGTGATAACTTCACTTATTATATTGAGATTTATAATAACTTAATATAAGAAAAAAAATACTTACTAAAATATCAGAAAATAAGTAAGAAATATTTTCTTCCGTACTAAACACACCTTATATGAGATTAATAACCTGAAAATAAGACAAATATAGATAAAAATTACACTGATAATGCATTATTTTTTATTTATTATTATTATTTTTGATAATTTATTTAAAAATAAATAATACAGGCATTTGAGATGTGGAAAGATGGTAAAGGCATGGAATTTATGGATCAATCACTTGATGATACAACACATTCTTGTAAACTATTGAAATGCATGCAAATTGCAATATTATGTGTCCAAAACAATCCATTGGATAGGCCTACAATGTTGGAAATTTCATCTATGTTCAAAAATATTGAAAATTTAGTTATGAATTCCCCTAAGAGGCCTGCATTTTCTACAAGACAAGATGAAGATCAAGTTGGCAATAATATTCCAAATGGGGAATTAGACATTGACAATGCAACAATTACACAATTGGTTGCAAGATGATATATGCTACTCTTTGCCATGTATTTAAATATGATTAGCAGGTAATTTGTCTTATTTTAGAAATTATGAATCCCAATTATTTATGGATGTTGACTACCTTGTCGTATTTATTGGTGATTTGATTAATTTAAATTTGGGAAACTTAAAGAAATCACACTAGTTTAGGAGCTAATTATTTAGATGCACTCTAATTTACAATATTACGAATATTACCAGATTTTGATGTGTCCAGATACATGTATATTGGGATATATGGGGTCAAACTAGAAACAAACCTTGGTCGTGGCTTGTGCTGAAATATTTGCAAGAACAAAAGAGAGATTTACAACACATAAAAGTAACAAAGATTTAACAATTAAACAATGTGAAATTAGGCAAAGGTCAGTAAGAAGCTTGAACTAGACTTGGTAGGGTGCGCCAGGCCCGTGCAGTAGTGCAATGCATGGGCGACGTGTGAAGGTCCATGTAGCAAGCTACTTCGATAGACCTTCCCCTTAAAAAAATAGAGTTAATATCGTGTGAGTCAATGACTCACATATCAGATATTAAACTAATAAAAACAGATACTACACTTGATCTTAGCCAAAAGGCCGAGAAAGGTATGCTTTAATTAGTGCTCAGCCTACAGCTTTTATACTTACTTCTCTTCTTTGAAGAAATGCAGGGTAAGGTTACGTACAATGGACCCTTTTGGTCCGATCCTTCCTCATATCTTGCTCAAGCATAGCGAGAGTTTAGTGCACCAGCCTGTCTCCATTTTGTAATATTAGAGGGATGAAACATAACTCTAGATGTATACTTAAGGGACTATCTTGATATTTTTCTCAACATGACAGGTAGGCATTACCAATTGACTAAATAAATATATGGATAGCCATATTTTGGTATGAGTAGAAAAAGTCAGTTTATGACTTCATAACATTTATGATATTATATAGTATTATATACTCTATATAGACAAACATGTATGGAGCTTTAAATACTTCTTAATTACAAGTTCTAGAAGGAGTCAGAGAAATTTATGAGCCATCCGGGATTGAATCCTTATCTCTCATGCACTTTATCGACCACTAGACCAAATCACTGAGGTGACGGGTGTCTAGTCATTTATATATAGAGTCGCAACCATCTGAATTTTTCCTGTTTGAATGTCAAAGATACTCATAGCACGATCAAACTGTCAGTCAAACAAAAACAATAGAGTTGACATTTAACATATATGCACACAAAATTGCCTAACTATGATGCAAACTGCATAATGATTTGACAATCAATGAGGCTGGATTTTATTACTTGTTCTAGAAGGAGTCAAGGAGATGTTCATGAGCAACCCAGGATTTGAATCCTGATCTCGCATGCACTTTATCGACCACTAGATCAAATCACTGGGGTGACGGATGTCTAGTCATTTATATATAGAGTCGCAATCATCTGAATTTATCAAGTTTGAATGTCAAAGATACTCCTAGCGCGATCAAACCGTCAGTCAAACAGAAAAAATAGAGTTGACATTTAACATATACACACACAAAGTTGCCTAACTATGAATGCAAGCTGCGTAATGATTTGACGATCAATGATGCTGGATTTTGTTACTTGTTCTAGAAGGAGTCAAGGAAGATATTTCATACCTCAAGTATATAAAATCTTGTGAATTATTCCTTCATTCCTCAAGTACTTATTATTTTTGTGCAGATCATGGGCTGTCTATTTCTTCTTCTTCTTCTTCTTCTTGTGTTGCAATATCCACTTGTTATCTTTTCAAGTCATCTATGTCGACGAGACGAGAGTTTGGTTTTGCAAAACCTGAAGCTTAAACTGTCCATAGATGACTCTGCTTCTGCTGATTGTGAATCCAATGGTTACTTTCCCTATCCAAAGACACTTTCTTGGAATAGAACCACTGATTGTTGTACTTGGGATGGTGTAACATGTGATAAAGTTACAGGTTGAATAACTCGTCTTGATCTTAGTTGTAGCCAACTTCATGGAACAATTGACTCCAACAGCACCCTCTTCCAACTTTCTCATCTTCAAAACCTTAATTTAGCTTACAATGATTTCTCACCTTCCCAAATTTCAAGCAAATTTGGATGGTTTCCGAGTTTGACACATCTTAATCTATCGCGTTCTGGTTTTTCAGGGACAGTACCTTTACAAGTCTCATATCTATCTAAGTTGATATCACTTGATCTTTCTGCAGGTATTGAGGAGTTGAGAGTTGAGCCTCACACTTTCAAAATGCTCCTTCAAAACTTAACTCAACTAAGGGAGCTTTACCTCACCTCAACATATATATCTTCATCACTTCCATCAAACTTGTCCTCTTCCTTACAAGAGCTGAATCTTGTCGGAACGGAATTGTCTGGGAAAATCCCTGATGACATTTTCCATTTACCAAGATTGCAAATGCTTAACTTAGGGAGCAACTTGTATCTCACAGGGCATTTGCCAACAACTCAATGGAACTGCAGCAACTCTTTAAGGGAATTAGATCTTTCTTCCTCAGGCTTTTCGGGGAATATACCAGATTCTATTGGTCATCTCAACTCTTTAAGGAAATTAGATATATCAAGCTGCTACTTCTCTGGTAACATTCCTCCAACTATCGGTGATCTCACCGAGCTCACGAGTTTGCAACTCTTCTCCAACAACTTCAATGGTCAACTACCATCAACAATCTTAAAGCTGGTGCAACTTGTTGAGTTTGATATCTCATCTAACAACCTTACAGGCAACATTCCAAATATTTTCGGTAACTTCACCAAGCTCAAATCTTTATCCTTTTCATATAACCTCTTTATGGGCCTTTTTCCATCCTCGGTTACAAACCTAACAGAGCTAGAGAGTTTAGACCTCTCAAATTGTTCTATAACTGGTGCTATTCCTTCTAGCGTCAGCACCGGATTCCCTAACCTCATCTTGCTCTTCCTACCATATAACTCCCTTAGCGGAGAAATACCATCTTGGATATTCAATCTTCCTTCCTTAAAATACTTAGTTTTGAGAGGCAATCAACTTGCTGGTCAACTTAAGGAAGTTAGATACAACTTGTTAGAAGTTGTTGATGTCAGTGACAATAAGCTGAATGGACCTATTCCAACATCATTCTCTAAACTAGTGAACTTGACAACACTTGATCTTTCTACAAACAACCTTTCTGGTGGTCTAGATATTGGGTTGTTTTCAAAATGCAAACAACTTCGACGTCTTGGCCTTTCTTTTAACAATCTGTCTGTATTTTCCAGTCAAAAAGATGCATCCTTGCCTAGTTCTCTTGGAAGTTTGTATGCATCTTCTTGCAACATAAGGGAGTTAAATTTCCTACGAGCTGCAAAATACATTGGTAACTTAGATCTTTCCAACAACAACATGCATGGAAAAATTCCTGATTGGGCATGGTCTAATTGGCAAGTCTCAGTGTCTTATTTGAATCTTTCTAGCAACTTTCTAACGGCTATTGACCTGCTTCATAACTTTGAGAGTCTTTACAATCTTGATATTGGATCTAACTTGATTCAAGGAGAATTACCTGCTCCACCTCCCTTATTGTTCCTCTTCATAGCCTCGAACAATAACTTCACCGGGAAGTTACCTAATTCACCATTATGCAAAATGAGTTCCCTTTTGATTCTTGATTTGTCCAATAACAGCCTGAGTGGAGTAATTCCAAAATGTTTAGTGAACATGAGCACAAGTCTCTCAGTGTTGGACCTGCACAACAATCATTTTAGTGGGACAATTCCAAATAACTTTGGTAAGGGAAGTAGTCTGAGAAGTCTCAATTTGCGGAAAAATAAACTAGAAGGAATGTTACCAAGAAAGCTTACCAATTGCAGAGGGCTCGAAGTAGTTGATCTCGGAGAAAACTTGTTGAATGATACATTTCCCAAATGGTTAGGATCACTTCCTAGGCTGCAAGTTCTCAGTTTGAGATCCAATAAATTACATGGCCCGATTACCATTTCAAGAAACCAAGTCTTATTCTCAAAGCTGAAAATCCTTGATCTCTCTTATAATGACTTCACTGGAAACCTGTCAGAAAGGTTTTTCAACAACTTGAAATCCATGATAATAGAAGATCAAACGGGAATTCCTTTAATGTATATTGGAGAAGTTCGATACCATGATTCCTTGACATTGTCTATAAAAGGACAGCAGATTGAACTTGTGAGGATTCTTTCTATCTTCACAACCATTGATTTCTCAAATAACAGATTTAAAGGTAATGTACCAAACTCCATTGGAAATCTTGGTTCACTTCGCGGGTTGAATTTGTCACACAACAGCCTTCTTGGACCTATACCTCAGTCTTTTGGAAATTTATCTGTTCTTGAGTCGTTAGACCTTTCGTGGAACCAACTTTCTGGGAACATTCCTCAAGAAGTTGCTTCACTGAAATCTCTTGCTGTCATGAATCTCTCACAGAACCACCTGATGGGAAGCATACCTAGAGGTCCACAGCTTGATACATTTGAAAATGACTCATATTCAGGAAATGCTGGGTTATGCGGATTTCCCTTGTCAAGAAACTGCGGAGATAATGAGATGCCTCCTTCTACTGTGACTGATATTGAAGACGAAGAAGATTCAGGTTTTATGGATTGGAGAGCTGCGATAATAGGATGTGGTTGTGGATCAGTGTTTGGGATGTTTATAGTATATATCATTTTCTTAACAGGGAGACCAAAATGGTTTGTGAGAATTGTCAACCAACAGATCAACAGGATCCTTTTGAAAATTGAGGCAAAGAGAAGAATTGAGGCAAAAAAGAGAAGACGGCAGAAAAGAAGAAGGATGAAGTTTTAGTATATACTTCATGCATTATTGTCTTGCAACATACACAGTTTCAGCTTACACTTTGTTTTGGCTGGTTGTTACCTGTTGTATTATATTGTATTGTTAGTTTTAATACCATGTTTGTGTTGATTGTTACTTAAATTATTGTTTTTTATTGTTTAAATTCATTTGTTAGATAATGACGAAAATTTCCATTTGTCATTACCTTATAGCTACACCTCGTATCCTACTTTCTTGTAGGTTTATCATTCAAATTATTGGTGTGTGACATAATGTATTGATGGAGAACGATACAATATATTCAAACATTGTAGTCACTAAAACAACCCTTAAAACAATACGATACATTATGAAAAAAATACATAACCACCATCCAAACAGAGTGTGTTAATGTTTCTGTTGTTGTTATTATTGTTTCTAAACTAGGTATCTTTGTATTTACTGGTAAAGTTTTTTAAAAAAGAGATAAAGATTTATCAGTTTATAATGTGGAATCAGAAAAAGGCTCAAATATATTTGAACTAGATTTGGTGGGGTGCGTCAGGCCCGTGCAGTAGTGCAACACATGGGCGACGCGCGAAGACCCAGGTAGCAAGCTACCTTGATAGTTCCTCCCCCTTAAAAAATAGAGTTAATATCGTGTGAGTCGATGACTCACATATCAGATATTAAACTGATAAGAACAGATACTACACTTGATCTTAGCCAAAAGGCCGAGAAAGGTATGCTTTAATCAAGGCTCGGCCTGCCGCTTTTAAACGACTTCTCTCCTTTCTGACTTTTGTTAGTTCTCAATGTGGGATTCCTTGATAAGGTTATGTTTCATTTCTATGCACAACAGGACTAATATATGAGACTCCCATATTAAATGTTCTCTACTCCCACAGTACATGACTTAAAGGTGAATAAAACTGACCTGGTCGCCTTTCTACGGAGAGCTTCGGAATTTTCATAAGCAAATGGTTCAAATGAAATTTTTCAATCCTTTTTTTCAATGCATCTCTTTTATTCATCCAAATCATATATTGCATTAGAGGCCCATTTCGTGCAAGACCAGTAACGATAGTGTCCAAGAAACCTCATTTCTCCATGGCACCGCATTAAACAGTTCCAAAGCTTTATCCTCCCTGTTATCCTTTAAACAACCTTGAATCATAACATTCCAAGAATACAAATTACGTTCTGGCATCTTATCAAATAGCTCAAGAGCTTGATCGACTTTATATGCACAACAGGAGAACAGAAGAGTATTAACTCGTTTACACACCTCAAGCAAGGATTTATGATAGAGAAATGTACATATGTGATTTTCTTTTGCATCAACAAAGAAATGTTTACATGTGCATTTTGTTAGTATAACCAAAAAAAAATCACTTTCTCGAGAGAGTCAGGTGGTGCACGGTTCGAAACTCAATGGATAATGAGTCCCAAAGTCTACCCTCAGCTGGTGCCGAACCTGTATAGGGGCCTCTAGCTCCGTTCACAAGCAATTGAAGGGGATAGAAGGTGGTCAGAGTGAACTAACATTTGAATAGGAGTGTAATCTAATCGCCTGACCTGGTCACCTTTCAAATTAAATTCTTCAATCCCTGGTTTTCGATGCATCTCTTTGATTCATCTAAATCATCTTCTCTTGCATTAGAGGCAATAAATTTTCTTTAATAAGTGTGTAAATCTCCTCTTTCTCAGGGTGAGACTTGTCTCCCACAAAAAATATGTGATTTTTCCCATTGACTTCTATTTCACTAAAACCGGGTACCTTTTTCACCTTCCTCTCCTTCATTTTCTTTCTTACTTGCGCAAAATCACCCCATCTCCCAGAAGCTGCATAAGCGTTTGCCATCAGTACATAAGCCCCTGAGTTACCCGGTTCAAGCTCTACTATTTCATTGCAGATCTGATTAGCTACTCCAACATCTCCATACAACTTACAAGCACCAAGTAAAGCCCCTAGAACAGCACCATCACGTTCCTCAGGAGGCATCTGGTGCACCACCCTTATAGCTTCATCAACTAACTTACCACGACCTAAAATGTCAACAAGGCAACAATAATGTTCTGCCCTTGGTTCTAAACCATAGGCATGCCTCATTGACTCGAAGAACTTTTGACCTTTCTTAACAAGACCAGCATGACTACAAGCTGACAAGAGTCCCACAAAAGTGATTTCATCTGGCTTGTTACCGGACCTTAACAACTGCGCGAAGGCTTGCAATGCTTGTTTGCCAAGACCATGATTAGCATATGCCAGTATTATTGCTGTCCACGAAACAACATCCTTTACTTTTAGATTCTCAAAAGTAATCAATGATGAGTTTATATCTCCACATCTGGAGTACATCGTGACAAGAGCATTATTAAGTGAAGTGTTTTGGTCAAATCCTAGAAGTAAAACAAGAACATGAGCTTGCATTAATTCCTGGATGCCCCCACATGAGGTCACTACACTGGTAAGAGTAGTAGGATTCGGCCTTAAGCCCGACCGAAGCATGAGAATGAAACGCTTTAAGGCTTCACCGTCGAGGCCACTTTTAGCATACCCATCAATCATTACATTCCAAGTTACAAGATCTTTATTAGACATCGAATCAAAAAGTTCGTTGGCCTTGGCCACTAGGCCTTCGTCAACATAAGCTGTTATCATGGCATTCCATGCAGCAGGATCCCTGTTTGGCATTTGATCAAAGTACTCTCTTGCCATTTCTATCATCTCATTTCGTGCAAGACCAGTAACAACAGTTGTCCAAGAAACCATATTTCTCCATGGCATTGCATTAAACAGTTCCAAAGCTTTCTCCACCCTGTTATCATTTAAACAGCCTTGAATCATAACATTCCAAGAATACAAATTACGTTCTGGCATCTTATCAAATAGCTCAAGGGCTTGATCGACTTGATGATTTTCAACATAAGCCCTGATCATAGCCGTCCAAACAATGACATTTTTCTCAGGAACCTGATCGAAAATACATCGTGCCTCAGCAATCAAACCATTTTGAGCATACCCCACCATCGCTGTAGTCCACGTGACCACATTTTTCTCAGGCATTTGTTGAAGCAACTTTCGAGCCTCGTCCACTCTACGGTTCTGAAAATACCCAGAAATCAAACTGGTCCACGCGTAAACATTTCTATCTGGCATCAAATCAAAGATTCTCCGACCCTCATCGATCCTCCCAGCTTTCGCGTAAGCATGAACCATAGCAGAATCAGACACTACATTCCTCTCAGGCATGGAATAAAACAATCTCTCTGCTTTAGGAAGATCCTTATGTTTAAGATAAATAGTAATCATCGAAGCATGAGAAACAACATCCCTTTGAGGCATTTCGTCGAACAGTTGCCGTGCTTCTTTAACTTTACCTTGACGGCCTAAATTCGTAATCATTTTATTGCAGCTAAAAATGGACTGTTTTTCCAAGTGGGGTTCTGATTTCATTTGCAATGGAATCTGTTTCTTGGGTTTTGAATATGTTCTTGAAAGGAATGGACGGTTCAGAAGGCGGCCATGATCATTACTTAGCAAATAATTTGAACCCCAAAATGTAAAAGAGTAGCTTATTTTAATCAAATTTCTGGGTTTATACATGATTTTTTGATAATAATTTCAAGCAGAAAGAGGAATTAAGCTATTTTTTTGTATGAAAATTGTAGTAGTAGATGCACAGATTTAGAGATTGGAGCATAAATTTAGAGGTTCATTTTCTTGGTAAGAAAGCTGAGAGGGAAATTTGAAAAAAACAGACATCTCAGAATAACAGAGGATAGTTATGTATAAGTTGGGCGGACGGGCTCGAGTTGGGAAAGTAGTCACCAAGTTTACGGGTTTGAGTTGTGGAAGGCAGTCACTAAAGATTGCGTTATTTGAAATGTCGCGCTTCTCGAACTTTGCTTGAATATAAATATTTTGTGCATTATGATAGGTTGACTATATCACACTATTTGAAATGCGACACTTTCTCGAACCCTCTACATTAATGTGAATGTTTTGTGCACCATACTAGCTCCTTTCTAGAACCCTATATAAATATGAATTTTTTGTGCACCAAAATGATGTTTTGTATACCAAAATATCTTTATAGTAATGTACTAAGTTGTGGAGCAAGGAATTGTTTGATTATTCATTAGAATTAATATTAATTATGTAAAAATTAGTTAGGTATGATTTAGTTATTTAATTTTTTACTCAATATAAATTGAAATAGGGCCAAAGACCCAAAATTTGGACTTAAAATTGGAAGGGGCCGCGTGGACGCAGGCCCCCACTCCACAAATTATGACATAGGCTTGACCACTTGAGCCGACCTTAGGCTAATACCCCTTCATAGTGCAATGAAGGTCATCAACCTAGGTCATGGACCTTATTGATTATCCATTGACCCCGTCCAGGTAAATATGTTTATTCAGTCGCCCAGTCCAAATTTTATACCACTAACATTTGCTCATTCACTGTTCACATTGGCCGGTGTGGGATTAACTAATTAATATGGTTAATCACATATTAATTATGTAGATGGTTTATCCTAACGTTAAATCAAGAGTCTTCCACAAAATACAATTATTAAATGACTTAATTAGTCTGTTTAATGCTAACTTTCATACTATTAATAAACCTAAAATAATTTATTCAAGTACATGGAAGGAGAGCCTTAGTGCAACCACTAATACTCACCGAAACCCTGCATGAACACGAACAAACCATACAGCGTACAAGACACTGATTCAACTAATTCAAATTCACGCCTAAGAGGGCCTACTAAGGTGGGAATGTTTCCCCTCGTGGAAATATTCTCAAACTCTCATGACTCAAACTCGAGAACGTGCACTAAAAAGGTGTATAACGACATCAATGACAGAGTGAACATCATAGAAACTATAGTGGGAAAGTTTATATTTCATATGATCATGACAAGGTACACAGGAGAGCAAGTAAAATACATATATTAGATGAAGAAATATGAGCAATTTTGTGCTCATAGAGAGAATACAACTAGCATAAAGCTACAGAGTGGACAACAAAATTTGAACTAGTGTGATGAAAACTTCATTTTTGTATTCAGTCTTTCCAACCAGCTTGGCGCGCTCTGCGTTCCCAAAGGTTAGTCAACTTCATTTCCTTGGCATACAACACGACAGCTCTTTCTCTCCCGACTTCACAAGTTTCCGTTGTAGCAATGCATTTCTCAGCCTCCTTTTGGTACTCGGTAGCTAACCTCCTCGCCTCCACAAAGGTGATGTTCATATGATGGACGTGCTCCTTGTCAACAGCCTCCTGCAGTTTCAGCTCTTCCGATAATAAATCCACAAACTGTTTCTCCATCTCCTCCTTAAGATCCGGATCATCTTTTCCGCAGTCTGTTACCAATAGGAAAATTATACGATGTAGCATGTCATGATTTCAACAATCTTTTGCAGATGTTCTAGACTGTTGCTCGGACTATTCAAATATGCCGCCAGGCGTGTGTTGGATCCTCCAAAAGTAGTACTTTTTAGAGGATCCGACACGGGGCAGCAACATTTTTGGAGAGTCCGAGCAACATAGGTTCTAGATAACCAAGCTCCTAGAAGCAATACATGCAAGAGCAGTATGAATACATTTTTGAGTTTGTAATAAGGAGAAGTGGAAGACACGCGGTAAGAGGAAATCACAACAAATATCTCTAAACTGTTTTTGTGACGAGGAACATACTTCTTGCATTGTAAATTACATATAGCATCTGTGAGCACGTTACTTAAACCAATGCAGCTTTTTTTCGTTGTTTCCCTTGTCTTTTCCACTCCTGAGACTTACTGGTTTTAGCACTATACACTCTATACTTGTTCATAACCGCATCTGAGGGTCCAAAATATGCTATAGGACGACAAGTTGCCTAAAAGTGTATTTAGGCGACGCATCTATATTAGGCTAATAGTCAGGCAGTGCTTATTTAATGAAGTAGCTTGGTTTAAGATCTAAAGAATCGAATCTCAAAGTCAGAACTTACTTAAAGAAAAACTCAAATTCAATTTGATTCGATCAGATCATTCAGGAGGTTTAAGTATCCATCGTCAAGGTGAAATTCAATTTAGGGAAGTTTATCACTATCATCTAATTAGCCTTATTCTTAAGGACTACATATTTTTTGTATTCATCAGAAGGCATTTCAGTATGCATAATCTTAGAAATAATTGTATTAAGGGAAGAAAAACTTCCAAGTTAACTCACGAAAACGTGACACAACATTCTTTCTTGAAGAGAAGAAGAAAGGGTAAATAGTGAAGAGGGGTTCGAATAGAAAGCTCACCAGTAATTGTAAGATTCGCCAAGCCTGCACAAGTGGAAACCAAAAATAGGACAATGTTAGCTTAATTGGCATTGAAATTCCATCAACTGCACCTTATACATGATTATCTATAGAAACTATCACAAAGAGTTGAAATATCGAAAAACAAAGACATCTCAAAACCAGCAATCAAGCAGCTATGTCACAGAGTTCAGTTTAACAGCTCGACCAGCTATATAAACATGAGTTTAAGTTTTATACACTGTCAATATAAATAATTCTTTACACCATCAGGTCATTCAAAGGTTATCTACACGTAAGCCTCCTTAAAATGTGAGATTTGAAAATAAGATACCTTACCTTCTACAAGGGGTAATGATGACCTGATAGTGTAAAAATTATTTACATAGACGGTGCATATTACTTGAACTCTAGAAACAATAACCTTTTCAACAAAGTATAAGCAGCTAATGGTCATTAAGATCATAAGTTTCGGAGCGTGATATATGCCCAAGTCTAAAAGCATAAAAGACGGCACTTGCACTATACAAGAATACGAAAGGACAAACGCAATGAAGAAGTCTCCAACAGCCATATAATGTGTTCTCTATTTAAATGTCATTTTAGGATCTTCAGACTCACATAGGGCACAAAATAACATTGCAACACCAAACAGATAAGCGGGTATGCAAGTGTCCCATGCGAAAAGGAAAGGATTCCATTCCTAATGTCAGTTTACTAACAAATCATTATGTCCTCATTACATGTTTTATGTAAAGTTTGTTAATATCATTTATTAGTAAAAAAGAACAAATGAGGAAATTCAGTGCTTGGTACTTCTTCAGAATTACCTCCGCTTCTCAAGAAGAATCGAAAAGTTGATCCAGCACGGAGACTCTGCATGGTACTTTTTAAAAAGTACAATGTAGGATGGAAACTTCACGTCATACTTTTAGAGGTATCGGAAAAGAACATATGCAACAATAAATCTTGCATGTAATTAAAGTTCTACATCCTTCAGCCCTTAGTTTTCAGCAAGGACGGATTCTTGAAACACTATAATAGCAATAACTATGCGTCAACCCAAAACTAGTAGTAGGTATCGTCTACACAGATCCTTTTTCACTAAAATTAGAAGGAACTGTTAGTTCAACGGGACAGAAGGATTTCTCTCACTTTCTTCATAGTTAGCTTAATTATAGGGCTAGGAAAGTAGAAACTTGATGTGAGGCTGGATCAATAAACTCCAAAACCATTAAGGAAAAATGTGTAACATGGAGCTTTGTGACAGTATCTAGCAGAGCTCACTTATTTTCCTACATGGTATCAGAGACTATCAATCAAAGCTTCTACTAAACCTCAATCTTGGCTAAGATCGAGCAATAATCGTAAGATTCGCCATTTATTTTACATAAATAATGTCTTTATTCTTTTAGAAGCAAGACCTTCATCCCCACTTTTTGCTAGGCAACAAGTTTTTGATAAGGTGCATGAGGAACAAGATAGTTAATTTTTCTTTTAGGATAAAGAACAAGATACTTAATGAAAGCATTTGTTCATCTGTTTTGCTCCAGTGGGTTTAACCTAAACACAAAAGCAGAATACATCCTATCACGCACCTTCAATTTTTTATCAGCCTCCAGGACTAACCTCCTTTTTTATGAAACCAGCCTCCAAGATTAGCTTAAGGATTACATTGACTAAATACACTGTAGGCAGGATTAAAGAAACATTACTTCCTTAGACTTTAGTATGTTGTTACCGCATAAGCAAAAAATCACATATTTACTAAGCTCATCTTTCATTGTTTGCTTAATTATGGGGACAAAAAGGTAGAAACTTAAGGTGAGACTTGATCAACATGCTCCAAAACCAGGAAGGAAAATTGTAGCAGAGAGCTTTGTGCAAAAGTACGTAGCCACAACTCTCCTATTTTCCTCAGAGCGCGTCAATCAAAGTTTCTCTTAAGCTTCTACTAAATCCTATCCGACCTTAATCTTTACTAAGCTCAAGCAATAATCATAAGATTACCAATTTATTTTATCTAAATAATGTCTGATTTTTTTAGAGGCAAAACCTTCATCCCCACTTTAAGCAAGGGGAACAAGTTTTTGATAAGTACGAGGGGAGCAAGTTCGTTATTTGATCAGCCTCGAAGTCTAGCATAACGGATTAGATCATTAGAGTGACCAAACCCCATATTGCAGACAGGATTAAATATCCATTCACTTCCTAATCTTTTTTATTTACTTACTTCCACCTAGGAAAGAGTCATGTCTTCGAACACAATCAATGCTGCAAAAGAGATGGACCAGAAGGGTCTTTAGGCAAATCAAATCCAATAACATTGCTACAATCAGCTTTTCACTGACATCTTATCTTTGCAAGAACCAATTGGCTGAAACTTGGCAATCAAAGAGCAGGTTTTTTTTTGCAGCAGAAGATAACAGTGAACAAGACAATTAAGAGGTTACTTAATAAACTCTTCACATGCAATTGAAAATCTACAGTCAATCCAAAATTCTATAACCCACAATCCAACCTCAACCCGAGAAAATACCAAAAACAAGTACTGGTGTCCATATGACAACTC